CAGTTGAACAACAACACTTCGACCAGGTAGTACCAGGGTACAGACCCGTTGGACTCCGTTGGACCATACGAAGAGAAGAAACATGAAGTCCTAACTGATGGCGCCTTGACCGATTTGGGATCAAACGTAGCGCCGATTTAGGCCCATGCAGCTGCCAAGGATTGGCACGTCCAAAAGCTTTGACTAGATGTTGAAAGGAACATCTGGCGGGTGTTTGCCCATTCAGAACCCTTTAGCCCGAAACCCACCGATTCGCCGTCGCCTCTATCAAGGAGCTCCGGAGCTGGACCACGGCCAAAAGCAACGATCTCTGGTCATGTCGTCCAAACACGACATGGCGTACCCGAATGGACTGCCTGGTGCCACGACGTGATGACTCTGCAGATGACTTGGGATGAACAGTGATATACCCTAGGGCTCCTGGCCCACCTCCTGAGAAGATGGTTGGGGTGGGTGGGTGCCAGGGGGTCTAACCACCGAACCTGAGGATATGGGACAGGAGCCCAAACGGGATACGTCACCCGCACCGACGTGATCACGCCCCGCACCGGGTCCAAGAAGGCTGAGGAGACCAAGCAGCACGGTCCCACGGTGCGCCAATGGGTCGCGATGCGTTGATTCATAGACCCCGGCAATGAAGCTGGAAGTCATTTAGTGATTTTCAAGAAGTCCTTGGTCCTTGGTGTTTGGAACAGATCGATTGTGGTGATGTCAGCCGGGCATGCTCCGTGAACCTCATATGCTTGTGCTGTCTTTCAGCAAAGCCCCCTCGGCGGAGGGGAACATCCGAACATCCCAAGAATCTTCAACATCTTCAGAGGCACTTGGTAGTTCGTAGTAGTGAAGAATGGCACAACTGAAAAGCAAATGAAGGAACCTGACAGTCACTTGTACCAAGCACGTTCACAACAACATCGGACATTCCGACACCTTGAGTGCCTTGTTGATCCGAAACCTCGGCACGTGAGGTTCCAATGGGAGAAGGTGCCCCAATCTCTAGATAGGAGACACTTAGGCCGAGCAGCCGAGATGTTGCATGTTCACCGATTTTCTGGGCGAAATCAGCGCCTCAAGACTCAAAGAGGTTTGATGTCATGCAACTTGCGGCGTTGCTTCGCTCTGCAGCGTTCAAGCGCCTGAGCTTGAATGGAGATGTCCCAAGGTATTCAAGCGTGGGGTTTTGATCGGCGCCGTTTCGCTTGAGAAGATCAGCACCGGGTCTCAACGGTCGGTCGCTTGGGATCGGGTGTCAATTCGAAAACAAAGAAATCGCTTGGCATGGCGCCATAGTCCCTAGATAGAAACGGTGTCCCGTTTTGGGGATTCCTTTTTCCTATTTGGGGGTCTATATAAACCGTGTCTTCACATCGAAAGCTGGAGTCTGGATCGAGAGCCGGAAAGGGGCAGAGTGCGAGGGCCTCACTTGAGAGCGAAGCCACAAGGGCCACAAGCACTCAGAACTGGCTACTTCGGTTGTTTGCAATTCATGCCCAAAAAAGAAAACCATGACCCATCCGAACAGGCAAAGAGCGTTCCGAACCGTTGGGAACTGAAGCTACTCCCAAACCTCACAGTAAGTATGCGATACCGCCTCACTGCTACAAGAAACTATTGAGCACTTGTTCTGCCTCTTGAGATTCTTGGCATAGTTTGAAGCACTAATAGTTAAAGGGAGCGTGTACCAAATCTGAAGGAAGCTATAATATTATATACCCTTAATCCCTTACACACTTTCAAGTGCGTGCCTGAACGCAATACAAGTAGCCTTTATTTCTTCTCAGCAGGCGCTATCAAGCCGTCTTGAAAGGCCCGAATGACCTACAGGTAGCTTGTGAATCGTGTGATGCGACCTCTTTTTTGCTTCATTGTATATACCCCAGACACTCCATGGGACTGCCATATATGCCTACATTGACCCCAAAACCACCCCAATGTAGGCATAAATGGCACAACATCTTCGCTCAACATCTTCGCTCTGACACATTCCGGTCTCCTGATTTCGGCGGTGTCTCTTCGGTCGAGCGCTCCATGCCTCCGGCGGGTTTCGCGTCCCCACCGCCGTGTCAAAGACACGGTCTTTTCGCAGGGTCCGTGTGCGCAGCTCAGCGCGCTCCGGACGTTGTGGAACCCCCATGAGAGGCAATGGACCTGTGCAGGTAGCAAACCACCATCGGCACCGATCGGCAATCAATCCCATCTTCCTATTCCCTCCAAGCTGGATCTCATCCCGAGCTCATCCAAGCTTCACTTCATCCACCCCGGCTCGCCAGAAACTAATTCGATCATATTCGATCTCTTCTTCCATCACGCTGCGCTTTTTCATCACATCTCCCAGATCCGTCCACACCTGACGTTGAGCAGTCAGTTTTGCAACTTCAATGATGTGTCAGCTTTCGCGAACAACCTTGCGTAGAAGAGAGATCAGAAAACACCCATGTCAATTGCATCAGAGGTGCCCAAGAAGTATTACCTACACCATGAAGTAATGGCAGAACCTGCGTTTTGTTCTCTGCTGTCAAGATTGGGAACAAAACGCAGGGTAAAGCACTGTGATTACTGACAGGTGATTGCTTCTCTGATTGGGAATCACCTGTGATGTTTTCATCATGTGAGCACTAACCGAAATGAGATCTACTGCTGCTGATCTGCCCAATCTGGGCTTCTGCTGCCATTCTCAAAATACATGAGCTTAAGAGACGGCACATGGGAACACCCGGATGGAACACCAGGACACACCATGCGCCATAAACTGGCACCGCAGCAGCATTTCTAGAGTGCCACAAAAGGAGCTGATGACTGCGATGTCGAAGTTTTGCAAGTTGACCATTCACCAACTCAACTGATCTCAAAGTGCACGATGTGATATGCTGTATACATCATCAGCTGAGTGCTCCAAACACTGGGAGTGATTGCTTTCTTGGTGTGCCTGACACACCACTTCCAGCTGCACGATCAGGCCATGAGTGGCCGCCCTCAAAATGCTAGGAACGCGAATTCTGGTTTGGTCGGGAATGACTTCAGCACGAAGGTCCCGGCTCGTGGTGGGACCGGCTTCATGCCCTTGGCAACTGCGGCAAGTGTACATCGCAACATTGCCCTGGCCAGCTGCAAATCCATCAAGCCCGGGAAGATCACAATCAAGTGTTGCATCAAGCTTTGCGGTGCGCCCTGATGTTGGCACAGGGCTGCCATGGCTGCAGTATGGCCATTCTCAAGCAGCACACCTTCCGAAATCCTGGCAGGACTAGGCTCTCCGGACAAGCGACCCAATTCACAGTCACGCACCATCACTCACGATCCAAGTTGCTTGTCCCTCGCTCGTCAGGACCCTCTGCTGCGATGCAGCTTCATGCAGTTGTTCACAGAATCAACTCCAAAGAACTATGTTGGAAGTTGAATGTTGCAGGATTCTGGTCATGAATCAAGCGACCGCTTAATGAAACAAAAAAAAAAAGTTCTCTTGACAGCCGCATGTTCTGCGCAAAGTGCTATCGAGTTGGCTTTGTAGCGCACACACAAGCTAGTAATGCAGCGTACTTAGTGATGCACTCCAAGCTCAGTGCCGAATGTATCAACTTGCCACCGTGCCACTGAAGGAGACTCGAACTGGGCAATCCTGCTCCGAACAACATCACCATGTCGTCGTCACCTCTCAGCAGTCCCTCATCGCCCCTTTTGGCACTATAGCCGTTCTTTTATTCCAGCAAGGACTTCTCCAAGACAACAAGAAGTCACTCCGTAGGAAGTCCTTAGGGATCCACTGCCACCTTTCAAGAAGGCACTTGGACTCCAGAAAAGTGTCGAACACATCACCCTCGATAGGAAGGTGGCAGGGCGTGCAGGTGGAGAACAACGCGAAAGTCTCATACCGAAATCTTTATTTATGACATCCCATGACAACTATAATTAAACAAGTCTTGCTCAAGCCTTACGTGCTTTCCCAACTATGTAGCTCTCCGTGATGTTTTCCTTATGGGCCCATGGGGGTCCACGAGGGCCCGCAACAAGCAGCTTGGCCCCTAACATGCTCGCCCCAAACACCTGCAAACCGCTGGAAACGTGCATCGAAGTACTCATCGAAGTCGGGAGGCCCAGACTTGGCTTCGCCGTGCTTCGACTGGCTGACCTGGCGGTAGCATGTGCGCTCTGACTTGGCTGATCCAACCTGAAAGCTAGAGCTGTTTGATCCAACCTGTACTTAGCTGGAACGCAATACCAGGTGCGATGTGGCAAGGTCACCATCTACGGTAGCCATCCTTCTAAGCAGTCAAACTAGTCAAACAAAGTATCTGACAAGCATCATCGAAGTGAAGTGAGCAAGCATGATTTGTGGGGAAAAGAATGGCCCCAAGGAGTCTAAGCTCACGAAAACAGAAGGCCGGTACCTCTTCTGGCTCTATAGGGATTACACCAAGAATCTTAGGGGTCACTTCAGCAAAAAAGATGTCGTCGAGCGCCATCATGGAGCATCTCTCCACATGTCTGGTTGCGGAGCAAACCTGACAAGTAAAGAAGCATAGTAGCCACAGCAATGGGACTGCGATCCGGCACGGCTTCAACTCTAAAGCAACAATTCAAGCGCCTCAAGGCTAGCCCCTGTCACCAAACATTGCACAAGGTGCTATGCTTCGTTTCATGGCAAGTTGTCTGAGTAAGTCAATGCGATGCAATGCTCCCGGTGTTGAAGCGGACGTGGGCGCACATGGTGAAATGGATGTCTAGGCGGGTGCGACAAAAGCGGATGAACCAATCGCTGTAGCGACACCCACACCAACATCAAGATGTTGCCAAGTTGCCACAGATTCTGGCAGCTATCAGCCATCGAATCAAGTGCTCAGCCATCAGGCCTGTGACGCTTCACTGGAAGTTCCTTCTCCCACGGCCTCGTGGCAAGCTCAATGTGGACATCTTAAGACCAAAAAAACTCAGGGGTGGACACAATCTACACTCCCGAAAACTAACATAGACCCTGACTGGCTGGCCCCCTGGAAGAGCAACCGATGTGGTTTTCAGGGTCCATGGGATCGTCTTCCCAGGGTGTATGACAAAGCAGCGGCAGTATGAAGCCACCGAACCAGTAAATCCACAGAATTATTGGCCGCACTCATCAGCTGCCAATCACATTGGAAGACTCCTGGCAGTGCCAAAAACTCACAGATTGTTGCATGATGACCACTGTGTCTTGCATCAATAGGGCCGATTACATTATGCAAAATGGGCTCGAATTGGCATCCACTGTCGAAAGCATTCAGGCTTAAAGCTTCTGTCTTATGGAAAAAAACACAAGCAGTTCATCCAAAACGACAATTTGGACAACTTGTCACACGCAAGGCCGAACTTATTCAGACAAGCTTTGTGCAGATCGCCCCTGCAAACTTCACAGTGTAATATAAACACCTTGTCAGCATGAGTCATTTTCAAGTGAACCTGACAGCTCAAAACTCTCCGACTTTTTCAAGCAAAGTGGCCATGGGTGGCAAGAATACCAATACCACAGTGGCGTTGATTTGTCAGCTCAAAGCTTGTCCCTGCACTGTTGCAAAGAGCGGTGTATGGGCACAACAGCTGTGGATGCTGTTGGTCAACGGCTGAATCGAAGGCCGGTACAAATAGTGTGTTTTTGGAGCTCACAATTGATCGTTGTGAACCCCATAACAAGCGGAACTCGGACCCTTTTGCAAAAAACTGGAAGCAGCAAAATCATGCTCTGACTGCTTCTACCACCCTGCGCCGCGCCACTCACCAGTACAAAGTCTTGTTCAGCACGAATGAGGGTCGGAACAGCTGCACCAAGGTCGGGTACACGCCATGTCCCCACTCTGCAGTGTGTTATTAGATGCTGCTCTTCAGGCTGCTCTAGCGCGCATTTATTCAGGCAGAGTGGTGTGGTCAAAAGCCGCATCTTCCGCAGTTTGCCGCACTTTCTTACTTGATGCTTCTCCTGTGAAGCCTGCGTTGTTCGAAGGTGCGTCGAATCCAGCTCCTTAAGCCCAAGCTTAGTTGCCCAAACGTGACATTCCCCTGTTCGACGTTGCACTTTCCACCCGCGGTGTCACGGGCGGAGCGTGTGGACCTGTCCACCCTGTGGACGCGTGAGTCCACGTGTCGGGGAATGTATGAAGACTATCTCAGAAGCTGTAGCAAAGAAGCTAGCTGTATCGAAAGGACCTGACAAAATTGAAAAGCAACGGTCTTTGGTTGGGCAAAATGGACTGGACGGTCTTCAATTTACAACTTGTAGCACCGGGTTGGTAGCAAAGAGCCTGCATTAGATCCCAGTTGAAATGGTTTGCACGTGTTTCAACACGTAAGATCTGCGTGCAAACCAAGCAGTAAGCCAAAACTCTCGATCCATAGAAATACTCAGCTGCCAATCACACTGGAAGAGCTCTGGCAGTGCCCAAAACTCACGGAGGGTTGCATGACCACGGTGTCTTGCATCAATAGGGCCGATTACATTATACAAAACGGGCTCGAATTGGCATCCACTGTCGAAAGCATTCAGGCTTAAAGCTTCTGTCTTATGGAAAAAACACAAGCAGTTCATCCAAAACGACAATTTGCAAAACTTATCACAGGCAAGGCCAAACTTATTCAGACAAGCTTTGTGCAGATCGCCCCTGCAAACTTCACAGTGTAATATAAACACCTTGTCAGCATGAGTCATTTTCAAGTGAACCTGACAGCTCAAAACTCTCCGACTTCTTCAAGCAAAGTGGCCATGGGTGGCAAGAATACCAATACCACAGTGGCGTTGATTTGTCAGCTCAAAGCTTGTCCCTGCACTGTTGCAAAGAGCAGTGTATGGGCACAACAGCTGCGGATGCTGTTGGTCAACGGCTGAATCGAAGGCTGGCAATGACTGACAAGGATTTTCCCATTTTCTCAGCAGGCCTTGTTGCCCTGCAACCTCCAAGAATTCCAACAAAGTGCAGGATGTCTGTCATTATCAAGGGCAAGTGTACTGGGTGTGGCTGCCAACGACTGCTGGCCAGTACTTCCCGTTTCGCAGCTGAGCATGCTGGATGGTCTTTTCTGCCAAAGGAGCGAAATCGGTGTGGCAACACGTGCTGCTTTTGGTCTCTGCACTTCAAACGTGCCATTGTTTGTGAGGAAACCTGGCAGTGGTTTGTCGACAAACAGCCAACCCTACATGTTCAAGTGGAATTCCGGATGGAAAATCCGCCGACCCCACACCGTGGGGTGAGGCGTGACTGTCGATGTTAGCCTTAGCCTTAAGCCTTAGCCTTAGCCTTAGACCTTAGACCTAGTCCTTAGCCTTAGACCTAGACCTTACCTCCCCTACCCCTCCGGACCCTTGTTGCAGTCACGAAATCCCGCCCGGAAAGCGACCTGAGCGACCCGGGAATTGTCCAAGACTCTGCCATCCCAATTGATTTACATCTTGGGGCACCCTCTCGACCCGCGCGGGAAAATAAGCACGGTCCAAAATGGTCCTGGGCTCGAATCCCGGGCTGGTCGCGGCATGGTCCCGGCCAATGCCCTTGCTTTTTCGTACATTTTGTCACGTTTTCTGTTGGCTTATGAGATTTTCAAAGGCTTTTCTGGCATTTTCCTAGGAATGCTCTAGGCTTTGTCTTTTTGGGTACCTGCTTTGGTGGTGCTGGGTTGGGTCTAAATTGGTAAACCTGGGAGGTACCCAAAAAGTCGACTTTTTGGGTACCTGCTTTGGTGGTGAAGGGTTGGGTCTAAATTCTTGGGCAATGATCGGGGTTCATGCAAGAGCTGACGTCCGATGGTAAATCTGGGAGGTACCCAAAAAGTCGACTTTTGGGGTACCTGCTTTGGTGGTGCTGGGTTGGGTCTGCACTCTTAAGGCTAAGGCTAAGGCTTAAGGCTAAGGCTAACATAGAGCAAGGCTAGCGCTAAGGTTCTATCCCTTGGGGGTCGGCGGCTGCAGGCGGTAGCCTGGTAAATAAACACAGCCTAGCAAATCCGCCAAATGCAATCCAACATCAGAGTCACAAAATCAAACTTGCCAAATGTTGTGCATGTGCAGGGCGTCCTGCACGATAGATCTGCATGATGCCGAACATCTGCGTGCGCCCTGGACTGCAAAGAAGGGTTCGAGACGCGCCTCTCCGAACAGCGCACAAAGCGTCAGCTCATGGGTCATGACACAGGCTTCGGACCCTGCACACTTCACCTAGAAGAACCAGCTCAGGGACTATAACAACCTCGGCCTTCGCACCGTGCACGACCTTCGCACATCGGCGGGAGACGTCAGCACCTGGGTGTCGTCAGCTGCGACTGTCTGCGACGGCGGGTCCGTGCAGTGCTTCAGCTCAGACCT